TCTGAATCGAGCAGATGGTTGAGGTCGATTTGCATTCCTTTATTATTGAATAATATCGTAAAGGTGATTTCATGTAGTCAGAAATTTCATCGTGCTTTATTGATAAAACTACGGACTCCTGTGCTTCAAGCAAGGGTTATAATTCCAATTCCTTGCCTTGATGACACTTCAGGCAATGGTTGCAATTAGTCAGGTTTTTCCTTCTGTTTTCAGCTTGATGTCTGCAATGTTGATGGTCATAACAGTTGGTATTTTTTATAACAGTTTAAGCACAATATTGCTAAAACTTGCAGAACATTGGTCTGAAACCATTTACCTTTCATGCAAGCAGCATAAAACATTTAATGGGTTACTGGGTTTATGGGATGATAGAGAAATACCAGAATACCCTCAAAAACTGAAATGAACAAGTATTTAATTTTTTAGTCTCTTAATCAGTATATACACATAAATTATCAAATGTTATTGTTTATTAATAATAAAAGCCAAAAAATATATTAATTTAAGTGATTTTGGTACAGATTGTTTACATTTTAGCTATTTGTAGCAAGATTCATGTAAGGACATTACTTAGTTAATTCTTTATTGGACATATATGATAAACATTGAATTGTTCCGAGAGTAAAGATATATGCCAGAGTGTGGAGAGAGAGAGAGAGAGAGAGAGAGAGAGAGAGAGAGAGAGAGAGAGAGAGAGAGAGAGAGAGAGACTTAAAATACAGTGGATAGCATACAAAAAAATTCCTTCAGAGTTGTCTTTGTCTATTATAACATTCTGGCTGAGTTACTTTGAGTTACTTTCACCTTTTTAATGTTTCTCCTGCTAATAGTATCTTATTTGAGCTTGGAATTAACAGAAACAGATTAAAGTTTATGCTATGACAGTTTGTTTCATTGATAAAAACATCATTAAAAGTTTAAGCAAATATATAATATAATGTTGGTAAATACCTATAATACTTTTGGCAAATACCTATAATACTTTTGTAAATTTCACTTTCATTCTGTGTGGAAATCTTTGCAAATATACTGATTCTGATTATCAAGCACTTCTTCCAGAGGGTTGTATTTAGGATTAGAAACCTTTCATTATCAGCTCATCCTTCTGAAACCTAATGCCAAGTATTGATTAATCCTCCTTTGCCAGTGCAGATGGATTTCAAGGTTCAAGAAAGAGATCTTATTACATGTGAATATGTGATGTTTAGTCTCCAACCAAATCAAGTTATCCATAGTCAGAATTCTTTATTATCTGTTGATATACTTCCTGCCAAATGTGATCACCCTCTCCTTGTTGGTATATATATATATGGGTTCAGTTTACAAGGTCATCTTTTGACGTACAAATTGCCAAATGTGATCACCCGCCTCTGTTGTTATATTGGGGTTCAGTTTACAAGGTCAACTGATGATAGACAGATAGCTGGAAAGATGAACATTACCAATCTTATAATATTGAGAAAAATGTTGATATATAAACATGAAATGAACAAATATGACTCAAAATAGAAGAGTTTTGTTTTGTTTTTTTAGGGTTGTGTTTTTTTTTCAGCACAGCAACACAAATAGATTATTCCTATAAGTAAGATAAATGATTTTCATATCTATTCATGCTATGTCATCATTTGAGATGAAGACTTGATTCTTTATTTATACACAAGAGAAGCTATTAGCAGATTTTAGGTCACTATTAAACATATAAAGCACCTCATATACTAAACACTCTAATATTGTAAACAAATATACTAACAACCTTGCATTCTATAGCATGTAAAGATTTGTAAAATGTACTTTATATCTTTTCATTATCTCCACACTTCATAATCAGGGATATTGTGACCATCACCACCATTGATGATTTTTTTTTTATTGCCCTATGTATACTCTATACTGCTCAATAAGTGCTGTTTGCTGGCCCATATGTACTGTAAACTGTCCCATATATGTACTATAAGCTACCCTATATGAAATCTAAACTGCCCCATATCAAATATATACTGCCCATATGTACTAAAAACTGTCCATATTTACTGTAAGCTGGACCATGTGTAATATAAACTGCCCATATGTACTATATATTGGCCCAAGTGTACTATAAATTGCCCAACATGTACTGTTTGTTGGCCCATATGTTCTATAATCTGACCCATTTATACTATAAACTGCTCAATATGTACTATAATCTGGCCCATATGTTCTATAATTTGGCCAATGTGTACTATAAGCTGGTCCATGTGTACTATAAACTGCCCTATATGAAATATCAATTGCTCCATATGAAATATTACCACCCCATATATACTATAAGCTTCCCCAATATGTTCTGTTTGCTTGGTCATATGAACTATAAACTGCCCTATATGTACTGTAAATTGGCCCATGTGTACTATAAGCTGGCCCATTTCTACTATATTCAGACCCATATAAAATATAAACTGCCCCATATTTACTGTTTGCTGGCCCATATGTACTAAAACTGGCCCATGTGTATTATAAGCTGGTCCATGTGTACTTCAAGTGACCCTGTATGAAATATAATCTGCTCCATACGAAATATAATTGTCCCATATGTATTATAAACTGTCCCATATGTACTGTTTAGTGGTTTCTGTGTACTATAAACTGAGCCATATGTACTATAAGCTTTGTGCTATATAAGTTGCCCCATATATACTATATATGTACAGTTAAAACCCATTATAACATGATTCATTATAATGTGATTTTGCTTTTAACCTGATTCCAGCATGGCTACCATTTTTTAATTAAAGGTGACCTCTCTTTTTAACATCATAAATACATTCTCTCAGACAAGCCAATTATTTGTAACCCTAGCAGAATTTTAATCCAAACATTTTGTTTGATGTTGCCTTATCTTCACCTTGCACCATTGCCACCATTATAGCAGGTCAACATGTCTAAACTGAAGTATATTTAATATCTATTGAAGCATGGTAAACAAAACAAATAATATAGGATCAAGAGGTTAATGAACACTGATGAATTTCAATGCACAGTTTCTGTGGGAACATTTGTTAATATGATTCTGCTTATATCGTGATGCTCTTCTTTGGACCTCAAGGATGGTGTTATAACTGGTTTTATCATTACTATATACTACCCCATATTTACTATAAGCTGTCCACTATGTACTGTAAGCTGCCCCATATGTACAATAAGCTGTCCACTCTGTACTATAAACTGTCCCATATGTATTATAATCTGCCCTGTATGTAATATATGCTGCCCTGTATGTACTAATATAAGCTGCATTATATGTACTATAAACTGACCATATGTACTATAAACCACAGCATATGTTATATATGCTGCCCTATATGTACTAATATAAACTTCCCAATATGTAATTTATGCTGCCACATATGTACTATAAGCTGCTCCTTGTGTAATATAATCTGTCTTATATGTACTAACATAAGCTGCCTTATATGTACTATAAGATTCCCCCTCCCATATGTGCTATAAGAAGCCTACTCCCATATGTAATATAAGCTGTCATTATTTGCTACAGGCTGTTTAACTGAATTGGTTTGTGGAGACTCACAGAATTTCATCATCTGACCCATCTTACAAATGTCTGCATGAGGGGTATTTTTTTAGCTCCATCCAATGGGGTCTGGCAGGGGTCAAAGGTCAGATGTATCAACATTTTTAGCAGGGGTCAAAGGTCAGATGTATCAACATTTTTAGTAACAGTGGCATTGACCAGTTTAAACATACTTTATATATACAGTTATGAGGGAATCACTCCTACATGTAACAGATTTAAACCTTTGACTTCGTAGTCAGTATTATGTAGTAGTGAAACTGGCAGGATGGAAAGGCATTAGATGTAGAAATTATATTGGAATTTTGTCATGGGGATCTACTGAAATTGTATGTACTGTAGTTTAAATTTGAGGATGACAGATGAGGAAAAAACTTAATTTTATATCTGAAAATGTGCAGTGTCCTCATTAGAAACCATGATATGTGTGTGTTTTGCATCATTGCAAAATGTCTGTATTGATTATTGTGTCACACTTCTCCCATCCAGACCATAATATTTCAGAATTTAGCATATATGGTATCTATGATTTACAGATACAGTCACACAGTAGCCTTCAAGTGTTTTTGATATTAAAATTTGCAAGAGTAATGTTGGAACCTCCAAAATGAGATTATTATTTTCATTTGAACCTATCTTTCCTTTTTTTAAGATCACATTCCCACCCCTGCTTTCCACACCAGGCATGAGTCTGCTCTGTATAATCATATAGATATAATTTACCTTTATATCTCACTCATTCAAACCTGAAGGGAGAGCTATGTTCAAAAAAGTCGTTAATGCTTTGCAGCTTTAAATTACTTCCTTGGTCCTCAGGCATGCAGTATTGATTGATTGGCTTCAAAGATTCTGTTGATGAGCTCTGTGATTATGGCCAGTGTGAGCAGAATTTTATACAGTTCCTTATCTTTTGTTAAAAGGAGAGACTGTACTTGTTGGGTAAGATGTATGTATTTAAGTATATTCTATTGATGTACTCAAAGTAAGTATGAAATATATGATTGGATGTATTCTATTGATGTACTCAAAGTAGATATGAAATATATGATTGGATGTATTCTATTAATGTACTCAAAGTAGATATGAAATATATGATTGGATGTATTCTATTAATGTACTCAAAGTAGATATGAAATATATGATTGGATGTATTCTATTGATGTACTCAAAGTAGATATGAAATATATGATTGGATGTATTCTATTGCTGTACTCAAAGTAGATATGAAATATATGATTGGATATATTCTATTGATGTACTCAAAGTAAATATGAAATATATGATTGGATGTATTCTATTGATGTACTCAAAGTAGATATGAAATATGATTGGATATATTCTATTGATATGCTCAAAGTAAATATGAAATATATGATTATTCTATTAATGTACTCAAAGTAGATATGAAATATATGACTGGATGAACCGCTCAGGTGACCTAGTGGTTAGAGCGTCTGCCTCTGATGCGGGAGGTTGTGGGTTCGATTCACGGGTGAGTCATACCAAAGACTTACATAAATGGTACTAGCAGCTGCCTTGCTTGATGCTCAGCATTAAGAGGTTAGTGTTAGGACTGGTCGGCCTGGTGTCAGGATAATGTGACTGGGTGGGACATCCTGCTACATGTCTGGGGCATGATGTCCCAGTGCTAGACATCACTATAAACTGCCACATTGCAGACATCGTAGAGATGTGACTGAAAAATTGTTAAAGCTACGTAAAAAATATAAACACCAAACACCATATAATTGGATGTATTCTATTGATGTACTCAAAGTAGATATGAAATATATGATTGAATGTATTCTGTTGATGTACTAGGTACAAAGTATATGATCTGATGTATTCTACTGATGTACTATAAGTATGAAGTATATGATTTAATATTCTATTGATATATTCAAAGTAAGTATGCAGTGTATGATTTAATATATTATGTTTATGAACTCAAAGTAAGTATGATCCCTGAGACCAGTGTTTCCCTTTACACACAGTTGTGCATCAGAGACAAACACTGGGGAAAATTGATGCACAATTTTTTGCCATTTTTTTTTTACGCAAAGGATTTTCAAAATACAATCAGGATTTATTTAATATCCAATGCATTGGATTAGGTATGGCATCATATATACTTCGAACATATGCATATTCTGGTTTCTCTGCATTGCACTCTGCTATACTGAGTATATGAAGCAGAGAACCAGACTACCATAGGCAATATTATGATAGAGTAGCTTCCCCTAATCTCGCAAGCTCTCACACGATTCTATCAAGCACAGAAAGATGTCCAGATGTTTAACCTCAATGCTTGTTGCACTAATATGTGATCTCAAGATTAAAATGGCGTGCTCTAAGAATCATTAGTGAAGAAAGTGAAAGAAGCTGAACATGAAAGAGTAACTGTGGATATGAGGTTAATGGAGAAATTTTTTCCTTGACTGGAATACAGCATATCCATTTGGATTACCGGTTTGGCTTCTGATCTCGTGATTGCAAAGACTACAAGTTAATAATCCTGTTTTGGAATTTCTTATAAATATGCCCTTCATCACCTACAAGATATCCTTTAAATACATTATTACATAAGACATTCTTTCAGAACAAAGAAATAAGTAAACTTGCAGAAACAAATCCATTATTTAGATTACAAATTTGGGAGTCATTGCAGATTTGTTAACTTTGCTGCAATGAAAGAAAGATCTAAAAGGTCAAGAGTAACTTGTTAAAGAGAAGATGAATCATTTGATTCTTGGATAAATGTGTTTTAGGATGAAGTACAATGAAACCCATGATGATACGTATTTTATGACAGGCAGCAAATTAACTGTCATTTTGTTAAAAAGATATGGATTTTTGTATTGGCTTATATGAAATGTGTTGGTCTATAATATTGCTACAATCAGATTATAAAGAGACTTTTAAAAGTACAACTTTAAACTAAAAGGAAAATGAATAATAAAATTATCCTTTGAATGGATAATGCATTTGTGTGTTAATTGAGCATGTTGGTTTATTTGTATTTTAGACAGAGTATGTTGAGCAAATTGCAATATCCTATTTCAGCTGAAAAAGTATGAATCAGATGAAAATTTGTCAGTACATTTTTGACCCCCAGATTGTTTATTTTACCCCCAGTTCTGACACCAAGGATTTTATTTTACCCTCAGTTTTACACCCCTGAGGGGATACACTGCCTGAGACTGTAGCATTTTTCCAAAACTTCCAGACATGTACATGGTTTATCACATCTTCCAAACAATGACATGATTTACCAAAACTTTCAAATCTTTACACCGATTTCCAAGACTTCTAAACATGTACACAGTTTACCAAAATTTCCAGATATGAACACTGTTTACCAAAACTTTCAAGCTTGTACACAGTTTGCCAAAACATCCAAACTTGTACAAAGTTTACCAAATCTAATAAACATGCACAGTTTACCAAAAACCTCGAAGCATCTTTCAAACTTGTACACAGTTTACAGTAACTCAAATGATGCCATGTAAAAGGATTGATTTGCAATTCCATCATTACCCATGTCTACCCGTTAGGCATGTTGTTGATGGTAATTATAAAATAATGCCATACTTCACAAAATTTTCACTTGTTTCATTTGTGTTTTGTCTTATTATAACACAATTTTGTTTGTAAAACATGTCTTGGTTGAATATAATGGAGTTTTAATAATGTGCATGATAAATAAAATCAGTAAAGTTGTATACTTTTAGCAAATGACAGAAAGGAGAAGGCAGCATAAAAACAAATCTTGTTCAATTATGCTGTACAAAACAAATTGTATACAAATTTGTAGAGCTGGATTGAGAGAGTGAGAGTATATGTACATTTTATATGGAGATTGTATAACTTACTTTCATATGAAAGAGGATGGCATAAGAGAGGCAGTTTTTTTAAAGTCTTTATGTTAGAAAATAGACATGACAGAATGGAGAGAAAATATTAAAATGCGAATTTATGAAATCTAAATGCAAAGGCTACAGTTGATAGGAAAAATAAAAAAGTACATTTAAACAATCAATTTAGAAAAATAATTACATACCTGTATGTAGAGGCATATCTAAGCATTGGTTTCAGCTGCATGATGCTATATACTTTTAGTGCCTTAGATTCCCTTCAGTGATTTTTATTTACAGCTCATTTGGCCACCTACAAGATAGTTTGAATGGCCTTGAAATTCCTGCATTGGTTCTGATCCATTATGCTTTGGCATCTTTTGGGATAGAAGATCATTTGCTGCAATCTACTCTTTATCTCTGCAGAACCACTTAAGCACTGCATGTTACAGTATGGCTTTACTGCCTAGAATTTTCTATTTTAAAGGCAGCAATTATTTCCAGGGATCCGGGTAAAGGAATACAGTTTTTAAAAAAATGTAACATCAGAGTAATAGGGCAGGTTCATGCCCTGCTTACCAGATTGCAAACATTGTCAGAGATGCATGGTAAACTGATGACAGAGGGAGCTGGCAGTATCATGATGTAGCAATAGAGGATAGAAATGTACAGTTAACATGCAGGTTCTAGTCTGTTGTAAGCTGTATTCAATACCTTCAATTTTTAAAATTGTATTTTACATGAAAGTAAAAATATTGAGCCATGTGAGAACATATTCTTTAGCTGGCTGTCAACAGTCATTTTGTTTGAAGTATAAGGTCATGTCTGCAATAATAATGAAATGTAAATGTTGTGGTGATTTAAGGTCACATGATACAATTTCTATAGCACTTAAGGAAAAGTTAATGAGTTGTCTTACAAATCACTTGGTGGTATTCATTGTTTAGGTTTGATATTTTCAAGACAGGGATTGGTATCATTCTTGTTAATCCTTGTTGCATAAAACAAATTGTGATACCATCTTTGAAATCTCATAATCTTGAGTTTTGCAAGTCCTTTGAAAAAAAATGATGTTGGTTTGTGTTCTTTTAACTGATGTCATATTGTAATGATCACATCACATCTAGTGGCACTAATTGAATAAAAACATGTTTATGTTTTCTTGTCTTTATACAAGGAGTGCAATACAGATTAGGAAATGTTGCAATTAGAATATTAATCATTCACAGTGTGATCAGCTTTAAAATGGGTATGGCATAAGTCACAAGCAGGACAAAATGTTTTTAGACCTTTTTTATCAGTTAAATAACTTATTCTTGTCCTGGGTTAATCTCTTATAATGCTGTCAATTGGGATCATACAAGTGTACCATGTTGTAGGTGAGGCTACTGTTTGCTTAGGTAGACAGATATGGATGCTAAAGAAACTTTGTTGCATGCAAAACCAGATGATTTTAGTGGATTATTTTATGTGAAAGAACATAAATATAATGGGTTATTGTCTCTCATCAGCTTAGAATGAGATAAATCTATGTAACAGTAGCAGCAATTTTAAAACTAAATTAATAAAAAATAATGAGATCCATTAGGATAAAGTGGTCCATCTTATAAAACACTGCCTTTTAAGTCCACCTTTTCAGACACAAAAGAAGTATATTTCAGCCATTTTGTCACCCTGTAAGAGGGGGACCCTGTACTTGTTGATAAGGGGGGCAGTGCTATGCTACATGTAGTGAAGAACCATGATGTAACTTTATGTTTCAGATATCTTGCTAGCATGTGTCATCAAAGATGATGGGTATCAGATGAAAGAATGAAAAGAAAGCATCTAGTCACCATTGTGGTTGTAGTGTTCCTGTCATGGAATGCCATCATGTATTACACCTTAGTAAACAGAACCTCTGGAAAGGTATAGTAGTTAACTCTTGACAAAACCATTTAGTGAAGGTGGAAAAACTGTATAGTAACCATGTCTGTTTGTTGCCAGTCAGCAGTTTAGTTTTTGCAAGATAACTTAATAGAATTGTTATGTTTTGTAGCTTTATTAATGAGGCATTAGAAGTGCTTGAGTTTTAGCATATGCAGTGATCATTTATTTAAGTTACAACCTCTGACTGCCTGTTCCCTTGCCATTTGTTTGATTGCCATTTATTTGAGTGCCTTTACCTTCTGAATGATTGTTGGTTTAAACCAAATTAGATATACAGCTTTACATTGATGACACTTTCAGTAAGTGATTTCACCTGTTTCATAATATCATTTACATTCCTATTCCCACCCCCCACTCTTCTGTCTTTGGCTTCTGCAGCATAACATTACTAAGGTCAGTTGGATTTCAAGCAAATTTGTTATGGAGGTTTATATTTATGATATATTGAATGAGTTTGATTTTGAGCCTATGTAACATCATTTACAAGAGTTGTGTCCATCTGATAACCTGACTTCCTAACTTTGGTTATTGCAGTATAATTTTAACAAGATTCATTTTATTGGGTATCTTGAATTAGTTGAATTGTCAACATTCAGTGACATTATTTGCAGGAGATATGTCCACTTTCTGTCCTCTAACTTTGGTGTTTGTAGTATAATGTTACAAATATTTATTGATTTTAATTAATTTTGGTTTCAGCCTTTATATTGATGAGTC